CGCCACCTCTCCCCGGGCCGCCCGCGCGGGGCGGGGCGGTGGGCAGAGCCCGAGGCCGAGCGCACGGGGGGGGGGGCACCGCTCGTCTTCCGCCCCACGGAGGGGCAAGGCGCCGCGGGGAGAGGGAGGACCTCCCCGCAGGCTGGGACCCGCCACCTGCCCTCGGACAAGGTGCAGAGTCTGACAGGGCTCATTTACCTCAGTCCAATACCTTGACCTGAGGTAAATGAGACCTGAATCGCAGCGAGAGTGGGAGAGACGGGGTGAGGAAATCCTCAGCAAAGCTAACCGCACTGTGTCGTGCAGCAGCAGATGCATGGCCAACAGATCCGAGGAGGTGATGCTCCCCTCAGGCCGCAGCTGGAGTAGTGCGTCCAGTTCTGGGCGCCGCACTTCACAAAGGATGTTGATAGACTCGAGAGGGTCCAGAGGAGGCCACTCACATGATCAGGGGGCAGCAGGGCAGGCCGTACGAGGAGAGGCTGAGGGACCTGGACCGCTTCAGCCTCCGCAAGAGAAGGCTGAGGGGTGATCTGCTGGCCGCCTACAAATTCATTAGGGGGACGCAGCAAGGGAGCGGAGATGCTCTGTTCACTGGGGCGCCTCTTGGGGTAACAAGGAACAATGGTCACAAACTGGCAGAGCAGATTTAGGCTGGATACCAGGAAAAACATCTTCATGGTAAGGGTGGCCAAAATTTGGACTGGGCTCCCAAGGGAAGTGGTCTCCCCTCCCTTGGGGGTCTTGAAGAGAAGGCTGGATAGGCATCTGGCTGGGATCATCTGACCCCAGCGCTCTTTCCTGCCCAGGCAGGGGGTCGGACTTGATGATCTGTTGAGGTCCCTTCCAACCCTAGCATCTATGACTCTATGAATCTCTACCACGAGTCCTGATGCCTTTGCCTCCAGACCAATACGGCTGCAACCTGGATACCTGAATACCTTGAAGCGTCTGGGCTTGAGTTCCCCAGCTGCAAAGCCTGAAGAATGAGTTTCCTGCCAGGCAGTGTTGGTTTTGGAGATGGTTTCACTGGCATTTGTGCGGTGCTCAGATGGGCAGTGATGGAGGCCATGTGGGAGCACAGGTGGGGTTGCCAGCCCTCCAGGCTTGCCCTGGAGTTGGGAGACAAATCTCCAGGAGATGCTTAGAGTCACCCGGGAGATCGATGCTAGGGCATTCATTAAAATAAATATTAAATGTTGACTCTGATTGATTCAGTGGTCCAGTGGGTTTTTTAAGACATCATAGTCATGTTGCATTTGCCATCCTGACATAAAGTTTTGAATGTCATTACATCATGTGCTGAATCTTCCCCGAATAGATTCAAGCAGAGCTGGCGATCCCAAGCACAGGGCTGGGAGGAGGAACTTCTGTCGCAGGGCAGGATGAGGCCAGCAATTCTGACTCCTCCTGTGGCTTGGATAATTCAAGTCTCTGCCTGTTCACTCATAAAGTAGAGGCAATATGTAGCTACCCAACCAGGATTTTGTGAGGATCAGTAAAGTAATGGTGGCTAAGTGCTAATTATGATGCTCCTATTATTAAGCTGTACCCACACATCCAAACAATGTAATTAACCTAAGGGGGGGTTTTTTGGAGCAGCAGAGTGTATATCGACAGCTCAATATGCTGCCAAAAGATATTTCTAGATCCACTTGCTGGTTGAATTTCACAACAGCTGCCATTTGCAACAGCTGACTTCTAATTTCCTTGTTTGTGGTTAGAGGCATTTAGCAGACCTCCAGAGGGAAGCAGGCCCCTGAGCAGGAATTTAGTTGACTAGTAAGAACATGTCATATAAATGACACGGGTGAAAAGCTGCCTGAAAATCAACCTTGTGACTCTTTATCCAGCTGAAAGTCCAGTAGTTTTCTTCTCTGTGGCAAGGAGATGTTTGTCATGCACTTAAGGAAACACTCAGCCCACGTGGGGTAAGTTGCATTTAAGCGACTGTTGCAACAGCTAAATGTACAGAGAGGTTCATGCAACACATTTCTGATTAAAATTGAGGGCATGTCTGTACTTTTTATGGTGCCAGGTGGGCGCCATGCCATTCTGCTCTGCTCCCTCCCACCTGGACTTGTGTAGCTGCCTTTGTTCCATGCTGCAAGCTGACTAATTGGTTGTACCTCCCAACAGAGGTAATTAATTAGTTCAGGCACCCTTACAACACAGTGGTGCTGCTTCTGGGCCAGAAGCAGCACACCCAGAGTAGTGTGGCATTTTCCACGGTGCTGCTTGGCTATGAGAGGTGCAGACAGACCTCCGGATGCTGAGTGAAGCAGACATCTGCCAGACTCCTTGGTCTGAGTGTTTTTTGAACAACACACAATACTGAAAATAAAATGAACTAAGAAACTACCTGGAGTGGGAAAATGGAGCAGTGAAAAGCCTCGCTGAAATTGAAGCTCTCTGGAAATGTGTAGGACAAATGAAGAAGGTTTAAACATCACTTCACATTGTATGTGCAAATGCTCAGGGACCAGTGGGAGACCCAGAACTAGCCCTGGATGAAGCAAGTGGAATTTGCCAAGCAAATGAGCGCCTGGGGAATTTGCATAGGGCCCGACTTCTAGGGGAGAAGCAGCGACGAATGAATAGCCCCACCGCATTGCCACCAAGCCCTCCAGTCGGATACAGTTTAAGGTCAGACCCAGGACCTAAGCAAAGATTCAGATGGAATATAATACACAATTTGTTTTGATCCCGGTATAAAAGGAGGTTTGGAAAGTATGGGAACTTTGTAGAGCCCCAAGGGAGCTCTCATGGTGCTGTGCCAACTTCCTTGTCACAAGTACAAATACCTTAACTCCTGGTCTGATGTATTTGTTGGGCCAAAATGTGGTAGGGCTGTGCTTATAGATGAGAAACCTGCCAAAGCTTTGCCACTGAACTGAGCCTGTAGTCATTCTTTACAACAAGATTAGTGTTGGGATCTCCTGACTGTGACTTTGCCAACAGTTCCAGAGACTTCAGTACTTACAACACATCTAAAACACCAAACAAGGATGATGCAATTCTTTTAACTATTAGAATAAATTAATAATCCCAGACCAAAGTCTCCCCTCAATGCTGCCTTGTTTGCTCAATCTTTGGCCAGTTTTCTGTAGCATAAAACGTTGTCCTTTGACCCAGGGAACCTTCAGGAATAAATAAACCCAAATTGAAATTAGCTATCCTACTAGCTTGGTCGTTATTTAAAAAATTAAATGGAACATTTAGGAACAATCCTGCAGGATCAGGTGGATGTTCTGGTTGACAGAATAGACCTTTCAACTCAAACAAATTTGTTATGTTTTAAGCGCAAACAGTGAGCTCTGTGCTGTACAAGCCATGCATTTAAGGTAGTCCCTTCCCCAGAGTTTACTGCTAAAGCAGGGGTGGGCAATTATTTCCGCTGGTGAGCCACTTAATGAGTTTTGCTGCACTGTCAAGGCCACACACACAAAATCTGTCAGAAGATATCATTTGAACAAATTATAGGTAAAAAACAAATCATACACTAAAATTGAACTTCTACTATAACTTATTTCAATTTTATTTCAAAGAATAATTTTTGTCCTGATTTATGTTTTCGTGAGTAGTGTCTATAGAGGTGATGGCATAATAGCTCAAAATAAAAGTTTTACTCTTGTATATTGTGTGTGTGGGGGGGAGCGTGTATGGGGATGTGTGTGGGTGGGGAGGAGGGGGCTG